ATTGTGAAAATCCAAAGTAACTCACTTTAAAGCAATACCACAAGGTCACAATTGGTTTAGTGTAGCAGAGAGCAAAATTGGGCCTCTTGTTCTTCCAACTTTGAACATCCATCTGATTTAACTGATTAGCAGCATATGGAATTGCATAACTGCCACGACAGATTTCCCACAGGATTTTGGCAGTGGATCTTTGCCACAATAACTTATGAGGTTAGTGTTGCTGTTAACGATACTGTGATGGCAGAAAAATTAACTCAAGTCTCCAGAAAATGCATTAAACCTAAGAATGAGTGAATCTGTTCAGTAAATGTTTTGAGTTCTCAAGCAGCTTGGTCAATGGATTGAATTAATTTAATGTATTTTTGTGAATATGTTTGCATTTCCAAGACTTGTCCAAGAGTGGATGCACAAGTCCCAGAATGCCAGGCCTTTGTCCTGGGTTTTTTGGAGTGCACTAGAGAAGCAACAAAAATCTAATAAGATTTGGAGGCGATCTGGATGAAACAAAACTAAATTCAGATTAAAAAGTTAGGGAAATAAAGGAAATACATTTCCTGTTGTATTTCAAGGCCAGTTATGTAGTCTTGCAGCATTACCAGGTGTCAAAAATAGTCTTTGATGGAACAATTCAGTGGCAGTATTTTTGTTTCATATTATAATTGGAGTGCATTTGCTTCCATATTTTGCTTGCTAGAACATTAATAAAGTAAGAAGTTCATAGCTAATCTGTTTATTTAGGCTACATGTGAACATTAATTTCCTAAAATAACTTATCTGCCTTAAAATGATTTCTTAACCTTGCACAAAACTTATTTCCTGATTTAACCCAGTCTTTTAAAGAGAGCTTTCCCTCTCTGGGTATTATAAGCAAATCCAAACTGCGGCATGTTTAGGCTTTGGGAATACAAGATATTTCAGCTGAAGCAGAAAACATTGCACTAAAGTATAAAACTGTGGAACTGAAATTTAAGAAGTCTTTGATAACTTTATGATTAGTCTTTGCTTTTTTATAGTAAGATCACAGTGTTCTCTTGCTATCACTCTGCCATACTGCATAGGGGATTTGACAGTGACTTTACAGGAGAAATTCCAAGAATTTACAAACAACTAGTGTTTCAGAATTCCCCAAATATCATTGAAGTCCAGGCTTGAAATAGTTTCTCATATAGATAAAATTTGAATCTGAAATTCAGCTACAAATGCTAAACATTCTGGCTGTGTCTACACTGCACCCCTTTTCTGGAAAAGGGATGCAAATGAGACAAGTCGGAATTGCAAATGAAGCGGGGATTTAAATATCCCCCACTTCATTTGTATAAACATGGCTGCCGCTTTTTTCTGGCTCGGGGCTTTGCCGGAAAAAATCCCCCGCTTCATTTGCAATTCCGACTTGTCTCATCTGCATTCCTTTTCCGGAAAAGGGGTGCAGTGTAGACACAGCCTTTGTGTTTCAGAAAATTGGTTTCATTTGCTTTTGTCTACTAGACTTTCTCACACAACTAGCTCTGATAACAGGTTCTTAGGATCTATATTCAGTTTGGTTCAGTTCTGTAAGGTATGGAACATTTCCATTGAATAAGAGTTGCGAGTTCTTAACCATTCTCAAGGAACAGAAAACCATTACTGTGGGAACAGACCTGTTTCACTGAGTCCATTACAAAGTAAACCATCGATTGATTATTAGGGGAATTTTGCTTGAGTAAAATTGGAATAAAGACCTTAGCAACTGGCTTATTGTCTTCAGTTGGACTCTCACATGAATCAGGCCAGTATAGTTTGACTCTTTCTTTGTGTGCAAATATATGAAATAAAGATAGGGAGACCAAAAATGGTGAGATCCTTAATATGTGCTTAAAATGTAATCCACAATTAAAAGTAAGGATATGTGGAGGAGACTGAGGGGGATAGGATAGAGGTCTATAAAATCATGACTGGTATAGAAAAAGTGAATAAGGAAAAGTTATTAACTTATTCCCACAATATAAGAACTAGGGGTCAGCAAATAAAATAAATAGGCAGCAGATTTAAAACAAACAAAAGGAAGTTTTTCTTCACTCAGCGCACTTCTTGTCAGAGGATGTGGTGAAGGCTAGGCCTTTAACTGGGTTCAAAAAAGAGCTAAATAGATTCATGGAGGTTAGGTCCATCAATGGCTATTAGCCAGGATGGGTAGGAATGGTGTTCCTAACCTCTGTCTGGAAATGAATGATGGGAGGGATCACATATTGTGTTCCCTCCTTCTGGAGCATCTGTTATTGGCCACTGTCGGCAGACAGGATACTGGGCTAGATAGACCATTGGTCTGACTCGGTATGGCCGTTCTAATGTTCTTATGAATGCCTAAATTCCTATTGAATAATGGACCATTATCCAACTAGCTGGACAATGGTATTTGTTTGTGAATGAAAATGGTGTCAGCTTTCTCAAGAAATTATTTATCTGGTTCTAGTTCCAGTACAGAAATTGGATTCTTGATTTCCAACTACCTGTGGTCTTATAGTAATGATGGGCCATATCTTCAGCTGGTATGAACTGTCATAGCTATGACTAGACATATGAACTGAGAGTCTATTCCCATGTGCCTAAAGTCCATAAGAAATAAGATTTGGAGGTAATGAAGGAAAAGATCTTGAGAAGACTCAGTGCTTATTACAGTTTAAAAATCTTATATATTTTCTCATTCTGAAAATCATTATTAAAGCACATATGCACTAAAGCACTACTTCTGCTCATTTGGGAGTGAAAAATAATTAGAAAGGAAGCACTACAATTGGTATTCTCCTGCTGTTCAGAATTATTCTTATTCATGGTGCTTACTTTGTGGTAAACACACACTGTAATTGGCGTTGCCACTTTTCTAATGGTAGTGACTGGACCCACAGGGCTCTGCCCTGCCTTGCCTCTTCTCCCAAGGCCTCATTTCTGTACCACCTCTTTTCCAAAGCCCTCTCCTATGCTGTCTCTTCCAACAAGACTCCACCCCCTTCTTCATCTCTTGCCCCAAGGCTCTGTTCCTGCATACCACAAGCCTCATGAGAAAGCCTGGCTCCATTGGCTACTGCACTGCCTCCTTCCTTCTTCTTAGGGTGGCCTCAGATTTTAAAAAAAGGACATCAGGGCTTGTCAAATGGCATCTGGGCACAGAAGCTAAAACTTGGACTATCTGGGTGAAAACTGCTCAGGTGGCAATGCTAGCTGGAGTTGAGTTGAGCAGGGTGCGCAAATTCTGGCTCACGGGCCAGAGCCTGTTCACCCTGGTGGAGCACCACTGCTATATTTCCCTGTACCTCTACATGTACTAGCAATTGCAACTCTTCTTGGCTGCGGATTGCCATTCTCAGCCAAGAGGAGATGTAGGTAGCAGTGTCCCAGTCTGCCCCACTTCCTGCAGCTACCATGGGCCAGGAATGGTGATCCCGAAGCTGCAATCACCGGTATATGTGGAGGCACAGTTAAATATACTGTATCAGCAGCAGCTTTCCTGGGGACTAACCCTAATGACCTGCTACCATTATATTGCCCACCCTGGTATAGAACTTTAGACTAGAAGAACTTTAGATTACTTTCCCTGTCTCCCACTTCTCTCATGAAAAAAATCTAAGGTATTTGACAGCAAGAGAGTCCCTCCAATAGTAAAATTCCCTCCTCCTTTTCTTCACCTATGACTCCAGCAAGGATGGCAAACAATCCTTTGTTCTGTCTTTTAATGTCAGCCTTTTCAAGGTTTCCTTTATTTCTAGTGGGAATTCTTTTCATTACATGGATGCTTTTCTGTTGGGCTTGACATTAGATGCAGCATGCCTTTTGTAAAACAGAATTCAGGCTTAAAGTTTTTCCTTAATTCTATTTCAAAATGGTCTCATGCCAAAGTTACAAGAATATTTTGGTAAGTGGGAAGAATTCAGGACTGAGAGGTCTAAAGGAAGGTGCTTTCTAAACCACATATGCACACACACTATCGTTTTCATGGCAAGTTTGTCAGCTGCTTGAAGGTGCTTAAGACCTTCACATATAGAATAGCAGTTTTTTGCTTTGCAGTCATAATCAAACCCATACTGCTGATGAGGCAATGCAACATTTCTAGCTAACTAATAATTAATTCTTGTTCAGCACAGCTAACCCAAATCTCATTTTGCAGATAGTGAACATTTATTATAAAAAGAAAAAACTCAATAAGGTGCCTTTTTAAAAAAAAGTGAACCAGACTATAGGCCCCACTCCCCACACATCTAAATCACGTATACTGCTTTGCTCAAAACAGCCAGCAATCCAAAAGGGTTCGGTTTCTTAGAATTTCCCCTCCACAGGGTGATTGGGTAGCACAGAATCTCTAAAATGGCATAGGGAAAAGTATAGGCTTCTGGAACTTTCTTAGGGTATGTCTACACTAGGAAATTATTTCAAAATAACTACATTTGAAATAATAACACCCAAAATAACAAAATCAAAATAGCATGTCCTCACTACAGAGAAGCTTTGAAATTAGTCTGAGGCAGGCTCCATTATTGTGGAAGTGCTAACTCGACTTAGAGCCTCAGGAAATACTGGGGAGTAATTACTTTGAATTACTCTGGGGAGTAGTTATTTCAAAATAGCAGCAATGGAGCAGCCACACTACTGCTATTTTGACATAAGTATTTTAAAATAAGTGTTATTCCCTAAGGAAAGCAGGAGTTATTATTTCAAAACAACCAGCTCCTTATTTCAAAATAACAGGCTTGTTAATGTGGATGTTCTACTTGTTATTTCAAAATAAGGGGGGTTATTTTGAAATATCTTTCTACTGTAGACCAGGGCTTAGGGATCATTTTCAGCCAGGTCTATGTAAGAAGAACTCTAAAACTAGAGCTCTGTGCTTGGTAAGTTAATATAAATGTTAAAGTTACTCTTTTCTGCTATATCTGTAGACTGCCACCTTACTATATTTTGCAGCTCTGACATGACATGCTCATTTCCCTGACCCAAGTCCTGTGTTGTTTTTTCTTGTTATTCTTATTTAGGTTAATATTGTCATTCTCGTTGCTGTGACCAGAGTCATCTCAAGAATCAGTGCAGACAATTATAAGGTGCATGGAGATGCCAATGCATTCAAGTAAGTCTTTCTCATTCACATTACTTTGCAATAGGAGAATCGCCTACAACTATATTATGTCATGGATGGATAGGTCATATGCTCATTTCCATACATCGGTAGGAGAACTCAGTAGAAAAAAAAATTAAACACAGTTATAGTGAGCAAGTCAACCTTTCTCTCCCCTCCCTTCTTAATGTTGTCACTGAGCAACTGTGCTTTGGAAAAGAAAGTGGGTCTGGAGTTAACCCCTTGTTTGGCAAGAACTAGGTAGTTCCCCTATTGTTCCATCTTAATCCCTTTCATGTAACAACTCATGATTTTGACTTCTGTTAATTCTTTAGTTCCTTTCCCCTTTGAGAATAACTGCATTGAAAAGTATATTGTACAGAATACAATGATCATTTCAATTATTTCACACTGGAATATTTCAATACCATCAGGCATTCATAGAATAATTCTAGATTTTAACCATAGCTAAGCAAAATATTTTTATGCATGTGTTTAGCTTTAAATCCATCTCTATTCTGAAAAGCACTTACCATGCTTAACTTTTTTATGCTTAAATCCTATAGTTTTTATATATCAAAGCAGTTTATACACTACAGTAGTGTTTTTTGGATGGCCTAGCCAAAATACTGTCTTAATCACGTGCTATATTAAAGTACAGTCCCATCAACAGAAGTTTGGAAGTAACATTTTAAACTGGGTGTGTTTCTGATAATAATAATAATTCCCCAATTATCACCTCTAATACCATTAACTCACAAACATCCCACTCTCCCTACCTCTAATATCATCAATTCACAGACACTTACCTTCCTTCCTCCCCCCTCCCCTGCATCCCCCTCCTGTTCTGCAATGTGATTTGTCCTTTTCATATTTGTTCATTTTTTTAAATTGTATCCTTTGGTATATATGGTTGTGACTACTTTCTTCCACTATTTGATCTGAGGAAGTGGGTCTGGCCCATGAAAGCTCATCATCTAATAAACCATCTTGTTAGTCTTTAAAGTGCTACATTGTCCTGCATTTTGCTTCAACTACCCCAGACTAACACGGCTACATTTCTATCACTAAATACTTTGGTGACTGATAAATATTTATTGAGTTAGGGCAATAGAGGGATTATGAATCAATACATGCCATAGAAAAATGTATAACTAATTATCTAAGGTTGGTATCTTTTTGACACTTGTAAGCAGTGCAGATAGGAGTACAGTGACTTAAGTGCAAATGAGCAAAGCTTAAGGTCTTTAGTTAAAATAGTACTAGGGACAGAGTTAGAATGCCTGACACACAGACCAAGCATGTGATTTTTTTTCTTTCTCCTGCTCTGGGGCATTTTGGGGTGTGGCTATCTAAAAATCTGTGGCTCCAACCTCAATCTGACTTTTAAGTAATTTTAGAGTGGTAGCCATGTTAATCTGTAACTTTAAAAACGAGTTATCCTGTGGCACTTTAGGACTAACAAAAATATATATAGTGTGTAGTGTTTCTGCAATAATCCTTATAGTTAATAATAAGGTATAGATCAGGGTGGCCGACCTGTGGCTCTGGAGCCACCTGTGGTTCTTGTGAAGTTGATATGTGGCTCCTTGCTCAGGCACTGACTCCAGGGCTGCAGCTACAGGTACCAACTTTCCAATGCTCAGCTTCTGGCTCCTCCTCCTCCTCCTCCATGCATATTGCACCCTCACGCCTACCTTCCCCCACAGAGCCTCCTGAAGGCCATAAAACAGCTGATTGCAGTGGGCAGGCAGCGCAGGGAAGGAAGATTGGTGGGCTGCTGGTGTGCAAAAGATACTGGAGATGGGAGAGAAGGCACCTGAAGGGGACTGCTGACAAATTACTATAGCTCTTTGGCAATGTACACTGGTAAGCTGTGGCTCCTTCTCAGGCTCAGGTTGGCCACACCTGATATAGATAATTATTTTGTATTCTAGGCATTTGGCAGTACAAACACATGGTTGTTCCTCAGAAAAGCTTGTTTATCTCTTGTTTTTCAGTGGCATTTTGAAGCTTCAGTCATTAACCAGGACCCCATTGTGCTAGGCACCGTAAAAACACCAAACAAAAAATACCCTAATTTCAGACCTGACCTAATGAGAAGGATTAAAAACAACAACAGCAGGGAGGGATGGCTGAAGGGAACAGAGCAACAGGATCACAAAGTTATTCAGTGATGGCCCGTGTATATATCATTGTAGCATAGCTCTTCAGTTAAGTATAAGTGTAATAGATATTACAGAGGTGAAATGGGTGATATTTGTTAGTGAGAGTGACAAATTGGACCAAAACCTCACCCAACTTGTTTTTCTAATATCCTGTCACCAACATGGCTCTCACCATACTGCAGACACTAATGTAAAAGAAGTATGTCATTGTTGGCTAATTTCCTGTGAATATTATTGCAGAAGTGAATCTTCAAAAGAGATTTGAATGAGGCGAGGATAAGTGGCTGTCAGGATCCAGTCCTGGAGACCCTAATTCAGCAAAACACTTAATAATGTGCTTAACTTTCAGTTAAGACACAAGTTTGTGTGTGTTACTGCTTTTGCTGAATCAGGGCTTCTGTTCTTAGAAGGTGTCATGAAAAGGGCACTGATGTAGTTGTTGGATAAATGAGGCGTTGAACCTGATGCTGTTAACAGAATCCAATTTCTTTCATGTGCAGTTAGTATTCCTTGAATGTTTAGGAGAGTTTATATTTGAACATTATATTTGCATGTTTAGGAGAGTTAAAGGAGAGGACTCCTTTCATATTGTAGTTTTTCCAATAAGAAGTCTCAGCTTGACAAAGGCCTAGCTGGGATGATTTAGTTTGGGTTGGTCCTGCTTTGGGCAGGGGGCTGGATTTGATGACCCTCTGAGGTCTCTTTCAGCCCTTTGATTCTATGATTCTAAGAAAACTGATCCTATCAAACCAAACAGGATTGTCTTGTGTACTGACAGCTGCTGAGAGACCTTTCTCTTTGTAAGATATCAGAAAATCCTGAATCTTGATTAGCTCATGTATTATGTGAGCATGTTGGAGTGAATGAACATAGCAAGCTGAGACAATGACACCAAGCAAAGGGAAATCAAAATAAGGCAATATGCTCTGTAGTTTCCATCAAGTGACTGTCACCAAGGACTAAAAGGTACTGTTTGAGTTGACAAGTTCAATCAATGTGGGAGAAATCACTGAAGGCTGAAAAATGCTTCATGTACTGGCATCCTTAAATAAAGGACCTGTCAGGCATCCATCTGGATAGCACAGTTCATTTGACATTAGCTGTAGTGGAAAGCATACGATGTTTGAAAGAATTCATCCAGTTGTATTTTTAGGAAACATGGTTTGTTTACAATGGCACAATATGGTTCTTTGCAAATCAAGGAAGCATTTTGAAAACAAGTTGCAATTTTTGCTGCATTAATCTATTGTCTAAGAGGAGAAGGGGTTTTTGTGGCCACATTAAGTACACAGGATAACTGAAACCATAAGACAAAGGCTAGAGGATAGGACCTACAGCACAGGGGAAGTTGCAACATCAGGGAAGTTCTGGTCAGTGTGGTGAATTGCCTTAGCTAAGAGGCAGAAGAAGCAAAGCAGTATTCATCCTTGGGCTTCCCTGTCTTTAATTTCTTCCCATTTGTCTTTTCAAGATGAATACTGAGCTTTGCTTTGGATTCGGATGATGGTATTTAAATAGAATAGAAGGATTTGTAAGTTGGCAGGTGATAATGAGCTGGAGGGTACAGCACAATGATTGGAAAATGAATAAGAGATGGTAGAAGGAATATGGCAAAGCTGCCTATTGCTTGTTTGCTTTTTCTTAGTAAGGAGATGGGGCCAATATTTACAAGTGTGGATGTGTAAAATATAAATAGAGGCACCATTGTTCCCTGTAACCTATGTGCTTGTGTAGCCACTCATGGACGATTTAAATGCCACCAAGCTGATTAGCAGAGCGCCCACAACTAGATTTTTGGTTCTACTGGTGGTGCACATTCACACATGCTTTGGTGCACATAACATTTTTATTCTGCACATGGATGGAAAATATTCAAAGGAACATTGATAAGCATCTAAATAAATGGTGTGATTTGCAGAAGTTGTTCACATTCCAAACTCCCATTGACATCAATATGAACATAGGTCCTTACATTTTGACATCCGAATCTAAACATTCTAGCCAGCACGCTAAACGCTATCACTTAACTGATTAACCATTTTAAATTAGGGTCTGCCATCTGGCCTGCCATCCAGCCCCATCATGTTCACAGCCATGGGGATATGACGTACTGCTGCTGGTCCCACCCCAGCCATGGTCCTGCCATAGTCACGGGGTCCAAGCACTCATGCTTCCAGCTTCTCTGCAGCCGGGCCTGCTCTGGCTCAACATGGATGACTGCCTCTAGAGGTCTGGCAAGAACTGTTTATCTAGTAAGCATACCAATAAGCCTGGGGCTTTTACCATCCCTAATTTGGGCACAAGGCATGGTTGAAGGGAATCCAATAAAATATTTAAAAAATACGGATAGAATACTTTTTGTATTTTCCACATCGCTCAATAGAGTGAGTTTCAGGAAAATACATCAGCATGTGCTTAACTTTAACTTTGAACTCCACATTGAGTTCAAAGGATAGATGAGTTCAATGGAATAACTCATGTTCTTAAGTACCTTTCTAAATCAGAGTCCTACAGAACCATTAAAATAAAAACCTCTTGTCATAAGAACATAAGAACGGCCGTACTGGGTCAGACCTCTAGCCCAGTATCCTGTCTGCCGACAGTGGCCAGCACCAGGTGCCCCAGAGAGGGTGGACCGAAGACAATGATCAAGCGATTTGTCTCCTGCCATCCCTCTCCAGCCTCTGACAAACAGAGGCCAAGGACACCATTTTATCCCCTGGCTAATAGCCTTTTATGGACCTAACCTCCATGAAATTATCTAGCTTCTCTTTAAACTCTGTTATAGTCCTAGCCTTCACAGCCTCCTCTGGCAAGGAGTTCCACAGGTTGACTACACGCTGT